CTGTTCACACCTTTCCTTGTGTTGCCCTTTACTGTTTCCCTAATGTGTCCCTGTCAGGCTCGCACACATTAGGCTGTTTCTCATCTCTGTTTCGCCCCTTCTGCCTAGGATTTTCTCCACCATCTCCCCTCACCAGTTCACTTTTGCTTGACCTTAAGATTGAACCAGGCTTCATTTACCTCTTCCCTGACCAACACCAGTCTGGATCAGGTGTCACTCACTACACCCTAGGCATGCCCTTGTCATCAGACTTGCCACACTGTTCTAAGTTATTTTTTCAGCTGGACTGTGATTCCTGTCCATCTTATTCAGTACTGTATCCCCAGCATAGGTCTAGTAGGTTCATGATAAATGTTTGGTGAATGAATGAATGGCTCCCTCACTTGAAAGTAGGACTGGCTGCACAGTTCTTGAATATTTTTTTTTAATTAAATGGAATTGAAATGCACAGGAGGGATACTTAACCAAGCCTGGGAAACCAGAGACTTCCCAGAGGACATGAGAAGTTATCTAGGTAGAAGGAATGTGGAAATGGGAAGACATTTCAGGCAAGAACAACGGAGGCTGAGGGGGACATTGCTAGTCATTTGGCTGGAACTTAAGGTCCAGGAGGCACAATGGCTGCAGAGAGACAGGTCTTTCACCCGTGTTCAGTGATTGATTCAGAAATATTCATTGACACCTATAGAGTGCCTGGCCCTGGGCTGAACCCGGAAGGTAGGAAGTGAATGAGACAACCCTTGCTCTTGAGGAGTTTACAAATTATCTCTAATGTGCTTTTAGACTAGTGGAGAGCATTGAGGAGTTTAAAAATGGATGGCTGGGTGACATGATCAGATATATATTCTAGAACAGTGCTTCTCAACTTATCCATGGTAAAGGACATTAAAAAAAATTCCAATCCATCAGAGATTGATATAGTAAAATTGTAAGACAAAGTACAAGTCCGTGTTTCTTCATAGTAGATTCAGCGGTGTATGATTACTGTAAAATCGTTACAAAGGTCTCTAAATGCCTACTCTCAATTGCCTTACTTACCACACACAAGGGATAAAAGTCTGCAAACAGCACTGGCCTGTAGGCTGTTCGTTGCACTGCTCAGAGATCCCATCTTGGCTGCAGATGGACAATTGCTTCGGGGAGGATTGAATGGAGGCAGAGAGACCATGAGAGGCTGTTTTTCTGATCCAGGAAAATGGTAGTGGTGATCTGGACTGGGATGTGGCAGTGGAGAGAGATTCCGGAGATAAAAGCCACAGATGCGGTGGAGAGGGAGGGGAATCAAGGGTAAAGGTAGGAATTAAAGAATGCCTCCCAGGTTTCTGGCTTGGGCACCTGGGTTGAATGATGGTGACTTTGACTGAGATCTGGACTGGAAGAGTTATAAGTTTGAGGGAGGGTGATGAGCTCAGTACTGAACATACTAAGTTTTTTAGTTTTTTTTAATTGAGATATAATTGATGTAACATTATTAGTTTAAGGTGTACAGTATAATGATTCAGTATTTGTATATACTGTGAAATTACCACAGTAAGTCTTGTCAGTTTTCTATCACTTGAACATGTATAGTTGTATGTGGGACCTCCATAGGAGATATTCAGTATCTCAGGAGATACTGGAATTAAGAGTCTTGAGAGCAGGTTCAGAGCCCTGTGGTTTTCGATAGAGAAAATTCCCTGCTCCAACCTAGTATTGACTCCTTGGGGTATCTGACAGACCCAGCTCATGGTGGTGTTGCTTGTCCCTGAGGGAGGTCTAGGGCATGGGCATGGGCTGGGGTGCATATGTTGGAAGTCGATTCAGGTGCCTTTTCTGTAGAGAGCTACGTGAACTTAGTCCCCTCTGGGGGACCTGCAATTCTCACTGTCACCACTGGATGGCAGTAGTGCTTCAGACAAGTGTTCCACGGACTAGGGGAGCCTGGGCATTTTTCCAGTATTTAGCCATCTGCCCTACTCCAGAGTTGACCTTTGGACTCCACAGAAGTGCTTACATGTGGGCCTGTCACCTTAACCATGGGGGCAGGAACATGTGTGCTATTACCGGGGCTCTGGAGCTGAAGGCATGGTAGAGTGGCTCCTGGAGTGAGTGCAGAGGCAGGCTGCAGTGCCACAGCTGGCCTGGGCTCTGGTTAAGCAGTTTCTTCCCTTACTTTGGAAACACCATCTCCAGGCTGCCCGGTGTAAGGCCCTAGGCAGAGGATTTGCTTTTGTCCAACCCAGGGATTGGCAATAAACAGGAGAGGCTATGGTCAAAGGAGACTGGAGCCTACTAGACATGACATGATGTGGGCATGCCCCAACTCTGCCCCTCTGTGCCAGTAGACGGTGCAGGTGCCCGTGTATTCAGAGCAGGAGTACCAGCTTTATCTTCATGATGACGCTTGGACTAAAGCAGAAACTGACCACCTCTTCGATCTCAGCCGCCGCTTTGACCTTCGTTTTGTAGTTATCCATGACCGGTATGACCACCAGCAGTTCAAGGTGAGCTGGTGTTGTTCATTTCCATGTGTGCCTAACCCCTAGACCTAGCAGGCCCACTAGTTTCATGCCATCCCTTCCACATGCCTCTAAGTGCCCCCCCCAATGTCTTTATTCTCAGAAGCGTTCCGTGGAGGATTTGAAGGAACGGTACTACCACATCTGTGCTAAGCTTGCCAATGTGCGGGCCGTGCCAGGAACAGACCTTAAGATTCCAGTATTTGATGCTGGGCATGAGCGGCGGCGGAAGGAACAGCTGGAGCGTCTGTACAACCGGACCCCAGAGCAGGTAAGCCCCGAGCCCACAAACTCTCCTTCATGCCCCAAACCCACTGCTTCCATCCTCAATACCCTCAACTCACCCCCAGGTCCCCCTGCCTCCCACTGGTTACCAGTGTGCCTCACACCAGTCTTACCCCTCACTGGACACCTTCTCTGCTCTCATAGCCCTTCACCTCCCTCATGATCTTTTCTCAGGTTCCCTCACAGACAGCCCAGCACCCCTTCACTCCCTGTCTACCCTCACTCCCCCACGAGCCTGTATGTACTTCTTAAGCCTCTCTCACTTCCTCAGGTAGCAGAGGAGGAATACCTGCTACAGGAGCTGCGCAAGATTGAGGCCCGGAAGAAGGAGCGGGAGAAGCGCAGTCAGGACCTGCAGAAGCTGATAACAGCGGCAGACACTACTGCAGAGCAGCGGCGCACTGAACGCAAGGCCCCCAAGAAGAAGCTACCCCAGAAAAAGGAGGCTGAGAAACCGGTGTGGAGACTAAAGCAGCCCAGCTCAGGGCAGAGGGGTCGCCTGACACTGGGGACCCTAGCTCTGAGAGCACCCTGAGCTGGCAGGGTGGAGACTAACACTAGGCCCTCTCGCTGTGACACCTTGGTCTTCATAACTCCTCCTCCCACAGGCTGTTCCCGAGACTGCAGGCATCAAGTTTCCAGACTTCAAGTCTGCAGGGGTCACGCTGCGGAGCCAGCGGGTATGTGTCACTTCCTTCAGTGTGTTTGGGCCCTGGGTGCTCGCTCTGTGGCCCAAATTCTGCAGGCCATGGGGCTGGAGCAGTAGGAGAGGTTGTGCCATGTGTTGCAGGTAGAGGTGGCCTTGGGATGTGGCCAGGCTGAGGTCACACCTTTCACTGTATTCCACCACTTGCTGTTTCCTTTGTGACCCAGAGCTGCCTCCAGGGCTTAACTTCTCTTCCACTCCCCCACTGCCTTTAGTCCCCTTCATCCTAAGGTGCTTGTGGGGTGAGAGGGCTGAGTTGCTGGTTCATTGCAGATGAAGCTGCCAAGCTCTGTGGGACAGAAGAAGATCAAGGCCCTGGAACAGATGCTGTTGGAGCTGGGTGTGGGTGAGTGTGAAGGCTGGGCCCCTCAGGATGGGGGGCTGTGGGTAAAGACAGGGAGGGCATTTTCTGTTACCAGCCTTCCAGCATACCCTGGCTCTGTCCCTGTGCCTTCCACCACTACCTGCAGAGCTGAGCCCCACACCCACGGAGGAGCTGGTGCACATGTTCAACGAGCTGCGGAGTGACCTGGTGCTGCTCTACGAACTCAAGCAGGCCTGTGCCAACTGCGAGTATGAGCTGCAGATGCTGCGGCACCGTCACGAGGCACTGGCCCGGGCTGGTGTGCTAGGAGGCCCTGCCACACCAGCATCAGGCCCAGCCCCAGTCTCTGCTGAGTCAGTGGTACCTGAATCTGGTCTCGGTCCTGACCCCACCAAGGACACCATCATTGATGTGGTGGGTGCGCCTCTCACGCCCAATTCGGTAAGAGCTTGGACAAGCCGGAAGATTATGAAATGGTCCTGCATGTGAGCTCACGCACACTTGTGCACAGGCTCTGCTCCCTCTAGTGCCTGTAATGGGAATTGTCACTCTGAGGGGTTGACACTGAGGACAGGAGTGGGTGGCCAGTGTGAAATATGCACCAAGCCTGAATCAGGCCTCAGGGACCGGCCATTGACCTCAACACCTTCCGTGTCTCTCCTCAGAGGAAGCGACGGGAATCGGCCTCCAGTTCCTCTTCTGTGAAGAAAGCCAAGAAGCCATGAGCGGCCGCATGGGGTGTGGGTGGTATTGCCGTGTAAATAGAGTTGCCGAGTTGGACTGGGCTGCTTCCTTTTCCTTCCCACCACTTCTGCTGCCCCTGGCTGGGAGGGTGGGCAGGAGGGGTCACCACACACACTTAATGGGTGGCATTGGGGCTTGCCTGCATGGAGGCCCTTAGCCCTCTAACCATTAACCAGTGCCCATGTTGCGCAAACACCTGTGCCCAGGAACACCTGAGGTTGTGCACTCAAGATGGTTCATATGCAGCGGTGGCGTCAGATACCAGCAGATTCAAACAGCCTTGTGCTGAGTTGCTGTGGCCCTGTGCATATTCATTGAGGGTCTCAGAGGCACTTCAGTGACAAGTAGCTGCACTGGTGGCCTTGAGCACAGAGCAGCCTGGAATACAAACTCCTACCCTTCCCGACAGTGTCATGCACAGCATACCTGGTCCACACACATATCAAGGGCCTTGTTTCCCCGACTTTATTCAGTGGCACGTTCACAGTGGGGATGGGGTAGACACAAGGTGGGCCCGATCTGTCCTGGAGCCCTGGGGGCACCACACACCATGCACTATGGATGGGAGGGGGCACAGGGGGCTTGGTGGTCCCAGCAGAAGCCTGTGTACCGGGGAGGAGGCAGTGAGTACCTGGGTCCCCCTAGCCCAGGCCCATAGTGGGAGGGGCTAATACTGAGCTGAGGTTGGGTGGGGATGGGGGGGGCACAATGTATCTGCTCCAGAGGGACCAAGTGGCCAAGCCCTTACCTAGGGCACAGGCCCACAGGGAAGGCTGGGGGTCACTTGATGTAGAGCTGTGCCACTCTCCCTTTTTTCCTCTGGTGAGGGAGAGGAGGGTTCTGGGCTGGGCCAAGCAGCTATCCTGTACTGCCCCATCCCATCCTTGGCCAATCAGAACGGCTTCGAGGTCTGCTTGAAGATGAAGCCTCGATATGCAAGTGTCTTCATGATGTTGGCAATATTCTTGCAGTCATCTAAAAAAAGGAAGAGAAGACATTTAGGTGGGCCCCAGGTCCTTTCCCTCCATGCCCACAGGTGCTCTTACACAGGTGGGGTGGGAAGCATGGTTAGATTCAGGAGGCAGACACTAAACTAGGGGGCCCCATTCCCTTGCGGCAGTATCTCCAGCTTTAGGTTTAGCTGGGTGATGCTGGCCGGGCAGGAAGCCTGGTCTCAATGCTTCTCAGTCCCATAATTCATGCTCGAAATTGGCCGGCGTGTCCCGCCCCGGCCCCAGCGGTGATGTATGGGCGCCGTCGCAGTAAGAAAAAGGCAGAGTAAATGTGTAATTTCTCCCTTGACGGCCCCCGGCCGCTGGGCGATCCTTCTTGTTGCCGCCGCGTGGGGACGGCCTGTCCGCCACACTCCGTCTTCCCGCCACCCGCCTTGATGTCTCCATTTCATTACTGTGCGGCCATTCATCACGCCCACGGCCAGGGTGACTTTGCCGGCACTTGCATGTGTGGGAGATGTGGCCCAGGCCATAATCACTGGTGACAAGGCACAAGCCTTGGCACTTTCAGGTCAGGGCCCTGGGAAACACCTGCCCTGGCTCCCAGGCTTATGTGCTCAACCAGCAACCTGCCTGGACACCTGCTCCTGTGCAGTCCCAGATCAGTGGAGAGGGTCCAGGTTTATGGTTCTCTACTGGATCTACCTGAGTCCACGCCCTGCCTCTTCCACCCTGACCTACTGGGCTCAAAGCTGGTACTGGTAGGGCTTTAGCCCTGTCTGGCTGTCTCTCAGGTTAAATATGTCTTCTGTCTGCCAGACCCTGTCATGGCAATTTCACCAGTATTGTTCCCCATGTTCAAAGCTGTCCCAGAACCCTGGTGGCCACAGGAACAGGTACTCCTGGGCCTCAGTATCATGGACATAGGCCAGGATGTGTTCTGTCACCACCAGCAAGAGGTACGACTGCCCAGAGCTTGTCCCACTATAGTAAGCCTAGGACAGAAATGGACCAAGTGCCTGAGTTTTTCTTTTCCACTGTCCAGAGCAGCTGCCAACTCCCTATCCCTTCACCAGCCTTTCCTCCCATTACTCTCCCATCTCCCATAGAGGCTCCTGGGCCATAACCAGGGCCTCAGCCTCCACCAGCCCTCATGGGATCAATGGCTGTGGTGGCTTAAGTATTATACATCGATGTCATAATCAGGTATGGGGGGTGGTAAGGTCAAGGTGGGGTCAGGAGGCCTCCACAGCTGCCAAGGAACAACCCCTTCCAGAATGCCCCAACCTGCCCTTGCCAGGACTTTAGACTAGGAAACGGGGGCCCACCAGAGCTAGAAAAGGGTTGTGGGAGTGGGAGAAATCTCTGGTCAGCCCAGGGCAGGTATCAGCCAGACACCAGCTCTGCAGCCCCTCAGACCTGTCTTTGCAGAGCTCAACATGAATGTACCAATGGTGGATGTGAGCATGGACAGGTGACCCAGGACCTAGACACAGGGACACCTTGTTCCTCCAGGGACTCAGGAAGCCACAAGGGCTGGTCTGAGGCAAAACAGAGGGAAGACAGATGGGTGGATAGTGGCGGCCATGGCAACTCCAGACGTGACCCATCCCCGTGGTTTATGGGCCGGACACGCACCCTGTTCATCTGAGGCCCCATCATTTGTCTCCCTTAGTGTGTATGCCCGTGCTGTGGCGGTGGAGAGTAAAGGGAGAGGGCTGTGGCAGGAGGAGGTAGGCAGTTGAGAGGGAGGGGGAGGGGGCAGAAAGGACCCTGGGAGGGGGGAAGGTTTATGATAGGACCCAGGGCTGTGATAGCACCATAAGAGGGGCTCTGATAGGGTGATTTTCTTCCCAAAAAAGTCTGGTCTTGTTAGGGCACCTCCAATCCTTCCTGTCTCCTGCACTCTGGGGACTATAGCTGCTCTGCATATTAAGAATAAGTCCCCTCGTTATCTGCAATTACCCAGCGGCCACACACCTCATTTCTTCCAGCAGAAAAGAAAATTAGTTTTCTATTGACTTCATCTGGCTCCTCCCTCATTGCTGGACAAAGTGCTCAATCTGCCTCCCCTGGCGCAAGTGAAAGTGCCCAGCCCCTCCCCTAGATCACCAGTCATCCAGAGGGCAAGTACGGATCTCCCACCTGTGCCTGGCCCTGAGCTGGGAGAAGATCCATGTGCCCCAGCCTCTGTCCTTGACCTCTTCTGACTACACATGAGATGGCTTCATTCACAGCTGGAACTTCAGCTACCTCTGAGGATCACAGTGTCCAGCCTGGACCTCTCTCCTGAGCTTCAGACCACAGATCCAAATGCTCTGGAACATCTCTTTCTAGATATCCATACAAACTCAAAACACCCAGTAATGATAAGTTAAAAAAAAGGGGTGGTGGAGGGGATCAATGGGGGAAGCTGTAATACTTTCAACAATAAAGATTTTTAAAAAGCCCAGTAATAAACTGATTTCCCCCCCCAAGCCTCTTTACTCCCCTGTGTTCTCCATCTCAGTAAAAGGTACCCCAAATGCCCAAATAAGAAACGTGAGAGTCAAGTGTGACATCTTGCCTCCCTCACTCCCCAAATAATAATCACACATGAACTACAGATTCTATCTTCTTATTTTCTGTCTAATCATCTACTTCCCGTCATTCTGGCAGTCACCCCCTTGGCCAGCTCATCATTTCTTGTTTTTACAACAATAACTTGTCCTCTTTTCCCCTTTAATCCATTCTCCTGTCGCCAAAGTGATCTTTCTTACACAAACCTGATCACATCCTTTCCTCTTTAAAGTCCTAACCCCTATCTTCCAATGTCAAGGAACCACTTACTGTTTTCTGAAAATGACAAAGTAGGAGTTTTACAGACCTGTTTGTAGTCTGAACTTCGCCCTATGGTGAGTGCTTAGTTTCTCTGAACTTCAGGCTCCTCCGCTAGGGGTGACAACGGACACTGCCTTCAGTGTTATGAGGATTCAACAGGTGATGCGCCCGTGTGTCTCTGTGCATGCTTTCTGTCTGGAATACCTCTTCCTGAAGGGAAGGCAAGGATGCTAGCTTTCTGGATGGCCCCATGGTGAGAAAGTGTACACTGTACAATCTATGGCATAGATGGCACGGGCTGGCACATTTGGTAAAACCATCATTCACTCCGCCAACTTTGACTGCTGGTCCCGTTTACTGGAGATTGTGGAGTCTAAGTTGCAACTGGTCCATTACAATGAAGAAAGAGAGACCCATACCGGGGGAGACATGTGTTTCAGTTCACCCAGCAAGTCAGTGGCACAGCACTTAAGGGCTTCCACACAGGCCTTTTCCCGTCCTTGAAGCCTTCATAAGAGTCTGTGCAACCTACTTACTGAACAGTTTAAACAGTCAATGGCACAGTTAGAAAATGAGGGACTGGGCAGAAGCACAGAGACAGATCTGGGTCCTTTAACAGGCCATACGATCAGAGAGACAGCAGCAGGATGAGCCTGGCGACAACATGGCCTCTCAGAGTCCTCTGCTTGAAGCCCTGTGGCCACCTGGGTCAGCAGCCCCACTTTCTGGCACCTCTTATTGAGTGATGAGGTAAGCCTGAAGCTGTTACAGGGTAGGAGACAAGAGGTGGTCCACAGCCTTGTGCTCACACTGAAGGCCTCCAAGGACAGGTCTTTTTCACCTCCAAATTCTAGAAAATTAACCTGTTTTATGTTATTGCAGGGTCATCAATTTGTGAAAAAAAGACCTTCTTTTTATGGGCATTAATACTTAATGTTGAAAATATTTTTATATTGTCAACACCATAATGGGAGGGGTGCAGCAGTAGCATAAATTTTTCAGACAGGTGAGTGGAGCTAGCACCTAACAAAGGATAAGCTTGTTGGCCTGGCCCAAGTTTAGTTAGTCCTGTATCTGCTTGGCAATAGAGCTGCTAGTGGAAGGGTAGCTCAGATCACTCGGGACACCCAGTGAGAGCTCACAGGGGGCAACCACCTGAGGCTGACATGCTCCAGTTAGCTGCACTTGTTTGGGAATTGAACAGTAGAGGACAGGAAGCAAGGCCTGGGCCAGGGCCAACCCAAGGAGGGAAGGGGGCCAAGGAAAGTCTTGGAGGGTCACTGATTCATGCACTCATTCATTCAGCAAACACTGACACCTCTGTGTACTGGGTGCACACAGGACATGTTGGCCACAGGGCTGCAGACTCTATAGCTCCGTACCCTCAAAGAGCTCAGAGACAGACCTGTAGGTGGTGCAGTGTGAACAGTGCTATGACAAAAGGAGGCACAGAAAAGGTACCTTGTTCGGTCTGAGGATCAGGAAAGAGTTCCTGGAAGGACGAAGTTAAGCAGAGGTCCGAGGGGCATGTGGGAGGGGCTAGCCAGAATATTGGGGTTTAAGTGGAGGCCATGTCCTTGCATAGTGAACAGCATACGCACATTCTGGAGGGAAAATGTGGAGTGTCCAAAAATACTTAAGTTTAGCGGGTGGTGTTGGTGGGGGTGATGAAGAATAAGAGGCAGGGGAGTGGAAGGAGATGAAGCTAGTGAGGTCAGTAATGACCGGCTAGAGAAAACCCCAAATACTGAGGCAAGGAACTTAAGGTTTTATTATTTTGGGAATGATTGGGAGACACTAACATGTTTAAGGAGAAACATGACAGGACCAAATCTGTGTTTCAGAATTATCATTTGAGGATGGGAGGAATTAACCCTCAAGGCAGAGACACCAATTAGCACACAGTACTATGGTTCAGGCCAGAAATGGTGGCCCAGAACTAGGCCGGTGCAGGCAGAGACAGAGGTGGAGGTCTACTGGTGATGTGGAGAAGTTGATGGAGGCAAGAAGTTTTTAGGAAATGAAATGAGCAAGTCTTAATGAGGGGATGGGAAGGGCTGGAGGAGGGAGGAGTCTAGGATCTTAGTGCTCACTGAGATAAGACAAACCAAGAGAGAGTGCAGGTTTGGGGCAGTGATGAACTTTGCTCGAATGTGTTAAGTCTTGAGGTTCCTATGAAACATCTAAACTTATCAGATATTT